TTTATTGACTGATGAAGCCATGTTTTCGTTTGACCACTACCACTGGCTTTCTGTTTTCCAACCTGATCAATCCTATGGGGAAGGCGATGTCTAGAAATGCATGCGTAACACATGTCCTAACCATCACAGTCGGTGTAACTTCACAACATCGTCGACTGATTTCCCTTCCTTACCTAACACTCGACCGTTGCCGCCCCTCAATATTACTCACCTTATTATAGCACTTAACACGGGATGGAAATAGAACGCAGGCACCTATGATCAAAGACAGCTAGCCTTTTCATATATTGTACTTTCAATGGCCATTCTCACAGCCATAAAAGAGGGCAACCACTTTGGAGTATGTTCTGTAGTCCTAACCTGCAGAGATCGATAGTTCCTCCAGTTGGATGTGGCACTATCTAAAAGTAAGTTTGGGTCAGATACTCCAATCCTTTACCATAAAAAGGCTTAAACCTGTCTCTCACGTATCTAAAAATTATATGTTATTACTGTGAACGTGCTTTGGTAATTCAATTTACAACTAATGTTCAGTTCACATAATAATTTCACCCTCTCTTTTCTCTTTCTTACTCTACATCCTCACGTCATCTTCCTATCTCTTATCTGTGACCTTGACCTGTATTGCATTGCAATGACTCATGCTCTCTCGCCTTCTATATACATGTGTATGACAAGTAGGTGTGCCCAAAATGTGTTGCGCAAATCCATTACACGTTTCACATAAACTAACTCTTTTTCGTATTGTTTTATGAATCACCTATTGCTCGACAAATATGCCCTACAAACCAATACTTGAAAAACAATGAGATGCTCACTAGCGACTGGCCCTATTCAGGTAGGCAGTTACCTGGGGTTCTAGTGGGAAGTAGTAACTATTAGGGTGCAGCAGGTCGGGTGTGAGGGCAAATACTCGCCGAAGGCATTGACTAGTGATCACGCTATATCGTGAATTGGCAGAAGCTGGAATTCATTCAGTAGCCATTGGATCGGGGTACCAGTGGCTTAATGGTCTACGAGCTCACTAGCTTTATAACCAGAAGGTCCTGGTTTCGAACGTCAGCAGGATGGGTGCGTACTGATGAAGAGCCCAAAAATAGAACGAAACCAGTACTCCCTGGTTTTCCAATGGTTCTCTAACCAATGTCAGTTCATGATGAAATCCTGTAACCAAACCGGAAATGGACTGGACCATTAAGTGACATCACACTCTAGATGAACCGTCAATTGGAATCCGAATAGGATGCGACCACTTCGGTGTGAAGCCAGCTAAGGAAGATTCCAAGGAACAGAGTGAAGTGGAGGTTTGCTGCTGAGGCGGAATGTTCTGTTTAGAACCCAAGGAAATAATAACATCTCAGATAGCCGGAACACATGACCTACCGAAGGGGGGGGGGCTGAAATGATGTCGCCAGTCAGAAGATTTTCCATTCACTCACTTTTATACCAAAAGTAAATTCGATAGGGAACATCTCAACGGGGTTTCTCACCACCACCCAGTGTGTGGTGTTCCTGGAAAAGACACATCTGAAAAGTCAGGAAACTAATGCACGTATTTACAACATTTGAAACCATTTTCCGGACAGCAATTTTCAATTTACATGTTATATTTTACAATCTTCTGAAGAAATAACTCTGACCTTGTAGCTGAGATTCCTTATTAAAATTTCTTTTATACTATAGAGAAGGAGTATATATAACTACTATATAACCTGATGAAGAAGTTATCGAAAAGAATATTCTTTGTTCACCCACTACGAATCAGTGTTTTGTATCAACAAAAGAGAGAGCACAGATGTTTCCTATCCTCTTTTAGGACTGACTACTCTTCAGCAGTCCACACTACAAACGGACCCACCAAATATTGGGACCAGAATACACCTTCACAGTAGAAGGAGAACACATTGTTTATTACTACTATTATTTATCAAAGCACAAACTTGTTACGTTATGAGCACCAAGAAATGCACCACATAAAATCTCACACTTTGTACAAGGACTAGCATAATGCCCATAGGCCCAACCCGAAGCTTGGGGTTGTTTTAACGTGCCAACCCTCAAACTTTTGACTTGAAATCTGATCTACAAGATAGTGGGAAAGCGTCCGCCGTGACTTTCGGTGACCAAACCACACGTTCATACATCACTTGGTCCTTCCGGATTCTGGAGCCCATGTATTATTTATTATTATTATTTCATTTAATTCCTAGAGGAACATAGGGCTTCAGCCAGACGTCTCCATTGCGCTTGGTTCTCTGCTAAAGTTTTCACCTGGCTCCAAGTCTGCCCACATGCTTTCATCTCCTCTTCACATGACCTCCTCCAAGTCACCTACCGTTGCACTGACGACCAACTCGCCGCTTCCCTTTCGGGTTCCACTCGAGCAATGGCTTGTCTAGTGATGTCACTTGATGGTTTGTTTCCTCAGAGTATGGCCAACCCATCTCCATTTCTTCCTGCATATTTGTTGCACAATCGGTTCCTGCTGGTTCGCTCCCAGAGGTCCCTGTTGCTGATCTTTTCTGGTCGGCCATCTGATCTTGAGTATTGAGCGAAGACAGTCGTTGATGAAGGTCTGTGATTTGTTCGAAATGCCCTTCGTGACGCGCCAAGTCTCTGATCTGTATAGTGAATAGCACTGACTTTACATTGGAGTTGAAAATCCGATCTCATTTTCATTTTCATGCTGAGTGCTGTTGATCTCCACACAGACTTGAGAGTAATGAAAGATTATCTTGCTTTCCCGATTCTTACTTTGATATCCTTATCAGTTCCGTCCGCCTGTAGTTGAAACGATGCTTCCGAGGTAGGTCGGTAGGTAAAAGAGGTTGTTTCTTTCAGGTTCCTCCCATTTATGCTGATTGTTGTCTGTTGTCGTTCTTGCTGTTGGTGGTGTTGCCCAGGAATCTTCATCACCTCTGTTTTCTCTGTGTTTACTTAGAGTCCTATCTTTGATGCTTCTTCTGCCAACTTGTTGCTTTTCGCTTGTACATCTTCCAGTTTGTGGGAAATCAGACATATATCATCGGCGAAGTCCAGATCCTCCAAGTTTTTTGTGAGAGTCCATTTTATGCCTGCCTCCTCGTTAACGCCCACTGTCTGTCACATTATCCAATCTACCGCAATCAGCAAAATCATTGGAGATAGTAGGCAGCCAGCTTGTCTTACTCCTGTCCTCACTTCAAAGGATTCCGTGAGTTTCCCGTTGTGGATTACTTGGCATGCAGCATTGTCGTACAACTGTTGGATGAGGTGTATAATTGTCGGTGGCAACCCGTAGTAGTGAAGTAGTTTCCAAATCATCTCTCGACTGGCACTGTCGAAGGCTTTTTCAAAGTCGATGAAGTTGCGATAGGGAGGTGACTGCCATTCCAAACTTTGTTCAATGATGATCCGCAGTGTTGCGATTTGTTCAATACATGACTTGTTTCTCCTGAATCCAGCCTGTTCCGGTCGAAGTTTTTCATCCAGGGCTTGTTTGATTCTATCCAGATGCCCATGTACAACATAGATTTGATTGGACACTAGTCAATGACTAGTGTAATATATGTGTGTCTAGTCCTTTCTTTGGTGCAGACTGAATTCTATCTGTCAAGTTTTGTAATGTGGCCAACATGCCACTAGGTGGCTCGCCATTACGGTGCACTTTGAATTTTTGATATTAGATGGTTAGAGGGAATCGGTAGTAAGCCTTGAACCTAGGTTTCGCGCGCTAGTTGGCTTTGCTGACGAGTGTCAACTAGGATGACACCTAGGTGGAAGGCTTCCTGCCGACAACATAGGCTTTTTTTCAAAAATCAAACTTTTCCAGCTACCACTGATATAAGTATAAAACTTGGGCACTGTGGTAGCAGAGTATAACTCTATTATGGGTAAAATTTATTTTCATAAAGTCTCACAGTGTTATACAGTAATACTTACTGGTGACCACGTTTCGAGCTCAATTTATCGCCACTCATAATCACATCACACAACTTTCTAAATTCGTTTATATGATTCCATTATTTTCCATAGTTTGATTTGATTGGTAGTAGTATTTTCCATATTTCCAGTATGAGTGATGAGTCATTCCTATTGCATGTGTTGGATGTAGACTCGATGAACAAGGATTCAGTTGTAACAACAGAAGACAAGGGCCAGGCAACAGATTGCTCATTAAGGAAATCAACACATATTTATAGATTTTCATGTACATTATTATAGATTAGTTAAGCAAACAAACACAGTCTTCTGATTGGTTGTTTCTCACTGAAAGTTAATCTTTCATCTCTTTGTGACTGTTTCTTGAATGTCAGTCAGATCACCTATATGCGAACTAACTGTATCCGCCTACGCAAAGTCTGCGCTGTGGTCGGTTTTGAATCAATCTTTGTTCATATTTTCTCACGACAAATCTTGAGAACGTACACATTAACGTAAATTACTCTCTACCAATTTGGCTAGTAGACAGCTCTCACCACACAGTGATCAACCTTTCTCTCAACCTACCTAGATTACTTTTTAGAATTTTATCCCTCTCCCACCCTATTGTGTGGTTGTGTGTTAATGCATGAAGTCCAATTGCTGAGCTTTTTTCTAAATTACTTATCTTCTTTCTCAGGGTTAACCATTCTTATCTTAGCTAAATTCTTATGTTCCGACAATCTGACTGACTACCCCCGATCTACTAGTTTAACCTACATAGTTGACCTCACTCACAGTTGTCATTGCAAAGTATTTTGTAAATTATATTATTTTGTTTAATTGGGTCCCCACCTAGCTACCCTAGATAAACCCTGGCATGTGTCTACCAGTGAGTCCAGCTGTAAGCACTAAGACGTCCGCTCTCGCCATTTCACTTTTGTAAGAAGCATCCACACCGTAGAAGCTATGAGACACCCACACACACACACACTTGGCAGTACCAAGGGACATCGAGAGACACACATACACACAGACAAACAGAGATGAACAACAGTCGTGTCTCAATCATTAAATAACTTTTCATTTATTTGTTTCTCAATAATAATAATAACAATGATAGTAATAATAATAATAATTAAAGTATGAAAAGAAATTACCGGAAAAGCTTTCTAAAATACAAAAAGAAAAACAAAATCTATTTCAGGAATAATAATAATAATATTTGGTAGCATAATTAATAGTGTGTTTGTTTGTTTGTTTATTAATCAGGGTTCGTCCAATGATAATGATGACAATAATAATAACGATAATAATAATAAAGTGTTGGTATTAACAATAATTTTAGTAACACACATAAGTGACAAAGCATACGTGGCTGGCTCATTGTCTCAGAGTAGCAGTAGTAGTCAATAGTAGTAGTAGTGTTGGCTGGAGTGGCGGTCGGACAGTAATAAAACTCCAGGGTGTTTTCTGGTTTTTCCAATTTTTATTTATCTCTTTTAATTTATTTTCATTAAATATGAACAATTCTAAAGTATGATGTAATGTCAAAAGCGAGAATATATATATATATATATGCATGTTTGTGTACACTGGGTATATTCAAAAATCAATCTAGCGGCAATATAATAAAGTAAGTGACAGCTCGATCGATGTCTATAAACATATATATGTGTGTGTGAATGTACAGACTGAAGACAAAAGAGAGAAATGTTTGGCACATGAATAATAATGAAAAAAGGGAGAGGACCACCACCCTACCCCACCCCGTAGGTCGTTGTCGTCGTCATCGTCTGTCACCCATCGGCAGACTGCCAAAAACGCTGAAGTCACAGGACGCGGGATTGGGGTGGGTGGAAGAAACAGAGAGCATTGTGCTCAAAGGGATTCGATTTTTTATCGTCTTTCCTTTTCGCCTAATGTGAAAGAATAATTCGTTGGTCACACAGAGAGAGAAATAAAGCGAGAGTTTGAGGAAAGGAAAGACAAGATCCCCAATTTTTCCACAAGGGAAATAGAGAGAGAGACAGAGAAAGTAGTGGTGGGGGGGAGAAGGAAGCAGAAAACGGAGAGGTAATTAGTGAAGTAAGTGTATGAGATGCAGATAGGCATGTACATGTGGGAAAAACAAACGATACACATGTATATATATCTGGTGAATAGTTCTATGACAAGCCCAGAAGAAAGCAAAAAGCATCTTTATAAAATTCATGGTATCACTATTATTATTATTATTATTATTATTATTATTATCGTCAAAGAAAGAAAATTCAAACTTCCCCCCCCCCTCTCTTTCTGTCTAAGGGAAAGCTTGAAAGCAAAAGAATCCAACACAAACAAACAAACAGACGAAGAGAAGTTGAAAAAAAGGAGGCGAAACAGGAAAATCAAAGAGGTAACACGCACACACACACACGCACAATTAGGAATGTGTAATGATTATACAAATACATGTATATATTTATATATATATGCACAAAAATTGCACACCTACTCACTCACATTAAGTTAATGCTTCAATCAAATGTATCCCATCTGAATGACTAACAGCAGCGACATTGGAACCAGATCGCCAGCTAACCTGTAACCATTTCCGTCCAACATCGACAGTGAATAATTGTTCATTTGAATTATCTATCAGTGAGGATGATGATGCTGAGGATGATGAGGGCGAGGGGGAGGGGGAGAATGATTGTGATGGTGATGACAGTTGTTTAGAAAAACCACCACCTTCAGTAATATCGATTAATTCATCGTGTAATTGTCTAGGCCATGGTATATCAATACTATCTGGTAAAGGGGAAACAAATACTGAAGTACCACTAACACCTCCGACACCAACACCACCACCATCTGTTGTACGAAATGGATCAATAAATGAACTAGCCTCTTCATCTTGCATAGTTAATTTATATGAACCTTCAATAGGATTATGACGATCAAATATTTTCACTGTATTACTATAGGAACCAGTTAATATGAAACTGAAAAGAAAAGGTAGAAAATTAAGAAGAAATATTAATAGAAATTATGATGTATTCAAAATAAATTTATCAAAAATTTCATATGGTGCTTACAACTGGAATGGTGTAGAGAAGCAGGTCTACCTAGGGAAGTTGGAAAACCCCGATTCCACAAAAAGCCTTATTGTGGTGAGAGCTGTCTGCGAACTAGCCCAAATTGGTAGACAGTAATTTACGTCAATGTTTACGTCCCAAGTCTTGGTCATGAGCGAAAAAGCAAGCAAGGACAAGGACTAACTCAACAACCAATCACAGCAGACTTTGTGTGGGCGGATACGATTCGCAGATAGGATAATCTGACCTTCAAAGAAACGGTCACAAAGAGATGACAGATTAACAACCTTCAGTGAGAAAACAACCAATCAGAAGACGTTGTTTCTTTGCTAATAATAATGAATAATAATATTCATAGAAATATCTCTTGATTTTCTCAATAAACGATCCCTAGCCTGACCCTTGTCTTCTGTTGCTACACTATGATGTACATGGGTTTTAGAGTCCGAAAAGACTGAAAACCATGTTAACCTGTTCTGGTCACCAGAAACCATAGGGATCCAGCCCCTCACGTTTGCTCCACTGTCTTGTGGGTCAGACTTCACCTCAAAGACGATGAAGGTAAGCGGTCGCTTAAGATGACCACCTGCTTTGGTCTTGGCGCCCCGGAAAGTATTCCATCCCTCGTATAAACTAAGATGGCCTACCTCTCTTAGTACCTGTAATGTAGGAAGTTTGTATTTTAAATGAACAAATTTGAAAATACAAAACACAAAATAATTGAGCTAAGAATATTCTTTTCGATAATTTCCTCCTCCTCTGGCTCCATAATTATATGTATATATTTATGTTTATATACATAGAATATTCTAGAATAGTAGTCAATAACAATATCAGTGTGTCTTTTAAATAATATCGATTTGTAAAGTAAGATCACAATGGAATCACCGCAGTTCATTAAAGATGCTTAAATTATAGTAATACTAATAAAGATATAATAGCTAATAGAATATCAAATAAAATTAAGGAAATTTCTATAACAAACTGAGGATCATTAAAACCTGGATGACCGAGGTAAGGACAATGTCTGAACTAGCTTCTTTTGGACGCATAAATTAGGTTTCTTAATGTGGTTCCCAACGGCCAGCCTCAGCAATATTTAGTAGTCGAACTCTTAAGGCGAAGTTAAGATTTGTTGGTATGCTGTAAATGACTTTGAAAGCCTTGTTGACGTCAATCTTGTGTTCTGTATCCACAAGATGAGATAGAATAGCGCTGCGAATGCATTTTGTTTGTCCTTTACTTAACCACTATACAGGATGATGTTCGAAAATCCGACGAGAAACACATCTAATTGTACGGCCTATGCATTTGGCTTCACAGAAGCAGTCAAATTGTGACAGGTACTCACAGAAGAGTCGGAATTAGGCGGTTTTTCTTTAGCTCCCGAATGAGAAATAGGGGTGGTTTTGAAGACAAAGCATAATTCAGCAGTACTGAATGCTCTCTTTAGCGCATTTCTAAGGCGTTGTGTTAATATCTCACTGATATTATCCTCAAGGAACTGAAGTTGTAAGAATAAGGCCTTTTTCGGAACTGCTGTTACCTTGGGCTGCCTTGATTTTTGATTCATATCCTTATCGATGGATTTTTATGAATAACCGTTTTCACTCAGCAACTGTTTAATGATATTAAGTTCTTCATTAAGACATTCATCAGTGCAGATTGCTCTTGCTCTGTGAACCAAGCACTTTATCAGATTGCATTTGTACTTCAAAGTCACGAAGCTGTAAAAATGAGTACACTGACTCGTTGATGTAGGTTTTCTATAAACACTTCCTTTTATTGTGCCATCCTATTTTCTGGTCATAAGCACGCCTAGAAATGAAATACACGAGTCTTTTTCTTTCTCAATAGTAAAATTTATTACAGGACGAACCTCGTTAAGTTTATCCAGGATGCCCTTTGCGTCATCCTCATTTTTCATAATCAAAAAAGTGTATCATCCATGTACCGATAATAGAATTCAAGTTCATCAATAACACCTTTCAAACACTCATGAAAATGTAACAAACGAGCATTATCAAACTACAGAAGGTCTGGAAACAACATCACAATGCTCATTACTGCCTGGTAATATCATCCGAACAGAACTGTTCACCATGGTAACAAGTCAATCTCCAAGTTGCTAAAGTTTCACTCAGGGTCAATTTTGCATTAGTGCATATCTATGATGAAATTAAATAAAAATGGAGACGAATAGTAAGCACAACCAGACGAATACTACTGGTTGTCATCCCCTCAAGTGACAACTCTCCACAAGCAGCTCTTATAAGGCTGCTTGAGTTCGATTAGATTGAGTGCCTTGATTAATGTAGTATACTTTGTCGACACTTCCTTCAGAGCAAAACATTGTGACAATACCCTCTCAGTCGACGAAGTCAAATTCTGACTTTAGGCGAAGAAATATGGGAAGTATTAGTCGCTAGTAAGTATGCCTATGTACAAGAATCTGTCGAAGGGTGAAGATATGATCAATACATTCTCTCCCTGATTTTCTCAGGATTGTTTCTCCCGATCGCCAGTATGGTTACTGAACTTAGAACTTTAGATATCATATTAGTCAAGCTAATCCCCCTATGATCACCAAAGGAAGACTTGCATCTCTTCTTATACACCACGATAATCAATGACTTACACCAACCAGACGGGACTATCTCTGATTCCCAAACATTACCTAATACCCTAGTTAACCCAGACAACAGTATGCCACCACCGTCCTTAATCACCTCTGGAGTGTGATCCCATCAGGTCGTGTTTCTCTACCTTATATCAGATTAAGACAGTTTTTTTATAAGTTTCGATACAGTTGAAAGACCAATCTCGAAGGTCACAGTTCAACAATAGCGTCCTAAGGATGCGAACGCACGACTGACCTTCAGCTGACCAATCACAGAAATGAGGAATTTTTGTACAAAAAATGACGTATATTTACAAGAAAATGCATGAGAACACATTAAAAATACGTCATTTATCAGTTTCTAAGTTAGACTAATTTCGGTACATGTATTCACCGAGGTGAAAAAAGATGAGCTGCTTTTGTGAATCCTTTATCTTTCTTAGTGCGTCGGTGGCACAGTGGTTAGGACTCTCGCCGACCATGGACATGGTCCGGGGTTCGATCCCCTGCCGGCGCACACCCGATATCTATGGTATGCCTGAATTTGGGCAACCGATATCCATGCTGAAAATTCCATACTTGTACTGAAAATACGGTGTGGAATCAAGCTGTAAATCAAATAAAAAAAAATTATCCTGTTGTGCGGTCTACCCCCAAAAGCACTAGGTTGAATTACTACGGTATCCAGCGAGAGGATCGACGACTACTTACCAGGAAAATGCAGATAATAAAACAAATAAAAATGAATGACATTAATTCTAAATGTATCCCTAATCGTAACCCTAACCTTAATCCTGACCCTAATCCTAAAACTTAACACTAGCCCTAACCCCAATACTTACCTTAACCCTAATCCTAACTCTAACGAGCTATTAACACAATGTCCAGACAGTACTTAAAACACTTGATCTGGGTGAAATTTGCTCCTCAGTTGGTGAATGGGGTTCATATTTCAGTTGTGACAATGACAGGTGATGTTAGGCAACGACTAGCATGCGTTCAAGGTCATTGGGGCGTTCACACTTCTGGGACGCTATTGTTGAACTTCGCCAGTCGAAGTTCTGACCAGTGGAGTTCACTGAGTCAAGCATCAGAACAAATACTCGTCAATGGCGATACCAGCTGGCAATAGCGCTATATATAGTAAATTGGCGGATGAGTAGTGAATAGGTTTGCGTAGCATCGTCATGGGTGAGTACTGATAAGGAGTTAAAAACAAAGACAAGTATCCAGTACACCCTGGTTTTCAGTGTTTCTGTTAGGACCCAGCATAAAATAGTATATTATCATCCTTTCTCACGAATCGTGTGATTTATCTTGTCATGGAGTTACTATGTCAATGTATCATTCCTCACGTATATTGTGATTTACTGCGTGTGATCAACTCATCGTCTTTTATCTCACCTTGGACTTTGTCGGAACACCAACCAATCAGAATAGACACTGCCAGTCAATAAGAACAGTCCATTCTTACAGTCAGTGAGCCGACTTTATTATGGTTAAGAAAATGTACAAATATCATATGTTGTCTCTTAAACTATATAGTATAATACAGTAATCTTACAATCACAGATCAGCCAGCCTTTGTCTTTTGATATTTGCATGGCTTAGACAATCGGAAGGTACAATGGACAAATAGAACGTATTAGAGCACCAGTCGAGTTCATTACCGTTATAGTGATTAGCAGGCACAGACATAACAAAGTAGCAACGGGTTTATTCGGTTCAGTTCAGTTAAAACAGTTGCTTTAAATGATGTCGTCAGCAGCTAGTGATTTAGCACGAAAACAATCGAACCGCTGGAAACCGACACACAGACATATGAAAATTTCAAAAATTAGTGTTAATAGCTAGACTTCATGCTGATACACAAGAATCAAATATCATTCATGCCACATTCTTAAATTAATTGTGCTCTGGATGATATTATCACAATAATATTGAGTATATATATATATATATATATATATATATATATATATCATCTCGAGCCAGCATCCTTTCTAACTACAGGTAGTAGGAGCGCGGGAGGATGTCGAAGTCAACTAGGTTCCGAAAAAGCAAGACAGACCTTCATTTATCTGTATAGTCAGTGTAGAAATCTACTGCACTTAGCATAAGAAACAAGATGTGGACTTTCAACACCAATATCAATTCAGTAAAGTACTTCTTTGCATGGTTCAAAGACTTGACGAATGCGTCATACACAAAACATCATCCAATAGGCTACTACTAATGGAGACTTTTGTCAATAGCTGCCTTCACCTCCATACTGGTGATCAGACTC